AGAGAGAGAGAGAGAGAGAGAGAGAGAGAGAGAGAGAGAGGTTGCTGATACTGCAAACTAAATGGCAGTGCCGGCACGCCATGGCGCCCTGAAAGATACGTTTCGCCCAAGTGCAATGCGGCACAACGAGGCACTTTGATTCAACTCGACGCCGATTCGCACGCGCGCACTTTTTGATGCAGTCACCAAGTGGCCTGCACATAAAATGCCATTTCAAACGAACAGCAGCATTATTACCGATAATACAACTACTATTATTAGCAGCTGCAATGAGAAAGCCCGTCGTAGGGTTTCCATGGTCAGACTCAGATGATTGCTCAGATCAGATGACAAACGTAGGAGTGCTAGTTTTCAAAAAATGTACCGAGTTTGACCGGCATTGACTTAATTTTGGCGGCTGATTTTTTCTCGTTTGGTTTTGCCGATTTTTTCGCTAGCCTAGTGCTTCTGCTGCTGCTGCTGCTGCTGCTGTGGCAGTTATGGCTTATTCTAGGGAGCAACAATTAATGATTGAAACTCGAACTTATTTTAATTGAGTCAACTTTTTATGAGTACTTTTATTAATTGTGTGTTTTTAATCAATTAAAAAATAATGTTTTGGCAGTGCAGATGAATACTATCAAGCACGTGCCTTTCTCTAACCAAAAATCCTCTACTGGAGAACAAATGTAGTACAAATGCCTTCAATGGAAAAATATCAACCTCATTAATTGCTATTGTCACTCATTCTCTGTTCTTGCTATGCACTTTCAAGCCTAATGATTGTCAAGTGAGTCTAAGTGCTTCTGGTTCAGAGAAATGTGCCTGTCTCTCATTTGCGGCCGCTCAAATTCAATTATCTCAGAAGCAAAAATCGAAATATTCTTTTCTCTTCTCTTAGGTAATTATTAATAAAGTCAGACTCAATTGCCGTCATTGCAATATTGATTCCTAGCTGCAGGGGCAAGATTGCTCAACACAGCACTGTCAGTTCTATGCTATGTCGGTTTGTGTGAGTTCGATTTGTAGATCAAGCTTCTAGTTAGCTATTCAGCCAGCTTTCGCCTTTACATGTCAGAATCGGAAGCGTTTCTCTGTGAAGAAATGCTGCTGCTGGTGCAGCGTAGAAGGGCAATCTTGCTGGTCATCCCTCATGTGAGCAGCAGCAGCAGCACTATTGACATTTCAATCATTTCACTACATTACCGAGTGAAGACGACTCGACCGCAGTTAATTATCGTAATGCATGCCACCAACTAGTGGAAATGTAGTGCAGGGCAATATGGAAATAATGGTACACTGTGCGCCCTTTTAAGGCTGCTTAAGATGTTGGGGCGAGAGTTGAGTGTCTATTTAGCTTGATTAGTGACAATACGCACACAATGGCTAGAAAATAAAGCCATAGAAAAAAGCTACAAATTGCTCTTTTATCAAATTGACTGGCCACGCCGGCCGGACGGACGCTGTACTGCTGCTGCTGCTGCCGTTGCACTGTTCAGGCACGACTCAGCCGTGGAATTCAAAATAAATTTGCCTTAATAGCTGGATAGACAAAGTGCAGATATAGTTTTGCAATTTCCAAATTGACATTGCCAGGCTACCGCCGTCGTTGAGCAGGAGACAGACCACAGCACCGAGTATGTGCTTTGAGCCACCGGAGTGCAACAAAAACACTGTGTCCAGTTGTGGCCATTGCCAGTGGGTTCTCTTGCTGGTGCTGTTGCCAAAAGCACATCTCCATTGACGCCATTTAATTCGTTTGTACAGTGCAAATAATAAACGCTAATGCTTTTGCGATGATGCGATAAGAAATTACCCGGTCCGAAACGCTGTTTCTGCTGCTGGAAATGGCAGTGACGGCGGCGGCGTTGGCCCCCTCGGAATGTTTTCATTTGTGGCCATATGCAAATGGCTTGTTTCTCGATTAAAGGCAGTCATATTCAGACGCGCGTTATCTGCCACGGGCGAGTTTTGTCTTCTCATTTGCTGGTTCACTGTGTCTGCCAGTGGCCACTCCAGAGTGCCTGGTCATTACACCGAAAAGGAGAAGAAAAGGAGGAGGATGAGGACATGCAAAGAATCCTTCTTTTTTGGCTCAGCATATATTGCACTAGCCAAACTCTGTTGCAAGTGTGAGCCGAGCGGCAAATTAATGGCTTCTCATCAAATTGCAAGAATGTCCGAACATTCGAACCGAATTAATCACAAAATCGGCTGCTCTTCCTCCTCATCAGCTAATGCAACCGGAATGTATCAGTATTCTCTCTCTTTCTCTCTCCAGTTTTCTGGAGCGCCAGTGTTTGTGTCAGTGTTGCAGGGTATGCAACGAGCAAAGCCTAAAGAGTAATCAAGATTATTGAACCACTTACCATCATTATGACGCCACAATGATGGCCCTCGCTAATATATAATAGCCTAATCTAATTGAAAACCACTTGCTACAGGCACACACATATTTGCCTAACTGCCTGCTCGGACCCTGCTGTCTCTCCCACAACTGGCTATATACCATTCACTGTCTATGTGCCTCATTCAGTGGTAGTGCCAGTACGACCACCACCGCTGAAGCTGCCGTTCATTTGGGTTCGCTTCAGCTGGAGAAGCGGCACTGGCAGAGGTGCAACTCTCTCAATTCTTTCTAGCCAGCACCAGCAGAAATGCCTTTTTTCATCTGACGCTCACAATGACGCTTTTTGTCAGTGCTGCTCCTTCGACGGCGGTGGTTGTTTTTGATCGTGGTAGTGACGATGGTGGTCGTGGTGGTGGTCGTCGTCGTGTTGTCGTTCAATGCCTGCACCGAATTGGAAGCCAGCAGTAGTCGCACCGGCACTCTCCCGAACAGAGCAGCAGCAGCAGCAGTGACAGCAGCGGTCTACCCACACAGCCTACCCAAACGTCAAACGCGCGCTCCCGCCAACACTACTTATCACTTTTTGCGGTGTTTCAAGCGCTTCAAGTCGCAGGTGATCAGTCCAGTCTAGAAGTGTCCAGCAAACAGAGAAGAACAAGTTGCATCTTCAGCCTTCTTTCTCTCGTCAACAGTCAAACTGTCAATCGTCAGAACTGAACTGAAAAGCTAAACCGTAACAGCATCATCATCATCAACGACAATGTCTGTGGCCAGCTCTCGCAAGGCAGTGTCCCGCTCAGCCACGCAGTCACTTCCGGCGCCTGTGGACTGTTGCAGCTGCCACAAGCCAATACGTGAGCGATACCTGCTGAAGGCACTGGATCAGTTCTGGCACGAGGACTGCCTCAAGTGTTCATGCTGTGATTGCCGTCTGGGTGAAGTCGGCTCGACGCTCTTTACCAAGGCCAATCTGATTCTCTGCAAGCGCGACTACCTCAGGTAGGTGTTTGTTGTTCTTTTTCACACCTCTCTAGACGCCATTGAATGCCAATTAGAGTTTGATTTGTTTGCCATTTTTAATTGACAACTTACAAGTGCTTTACGCCGCCAACATAAACACTGAGTTTTAGTTTTCTAGTTGCAGTACCTCTCAGCAACAGTCTTCTTTATTTTCCTCCCCTTTCTTTGGCACACACACAGTTCGTCTGCTAATTGGCGTACTTGCCATCTTCAGTGCACACACACACTTAATGTGCTACCAGTAGGCTTTAATTACACGTCAATCGTATTGCTGTGCAAATATTTACCCTAAACTCTCTACTTTTCAAAAGAGTGCATCAATTGAAGGTGGATTGACTGTGCGCATCAGCAGTGGCAGCAAAAACAGTAAAGCATCGCATCATTCTGTTGATCAGTGAAACGCCAGTGCCGTGACTACCACCAATGACCAGTCATTAGACGCCTGATGATGGTACAGTGGTACAGTGCACTGACGACTAACACTACCACTGACTGGTGACTGCACTCTTTGTCTGTCTAATTGGACCCACACATACTTAGGCACATCATCTTTTTGATGAGCACTCTCTAGGATGAATATCAAGAGTGAGTGAGTGAAAAATACAGAATACAGAGTTGGCTAACTTTTAACAGGAGGGAAAGCAAAAGACCAACTAATCTTCTCTGGCTATCTCGCTCGTTGCAGTGGCAGTCAAGACCAATTGGCACTTTACATGTGCCTTCATCGTTTTAGTCGTTCATTGTCCGTACACACTGCCAGAAAGTACCATGGGCTTGCTGCCGACTACTGCGCACTAACGAGTCACTGACGCTCAACTGTATTTTAATTAGTGCTGCATGCTCAAGTTTGCAAAAGTTTGGAAATAATTTAAATTGAACCAAAGCCAGCAGAAGAAAAAAGCCTCTCCGCTGTGTACTATGGCAACACACACACTGCACTTTGCTCTTCTAGTCGGTCGCAGCGACGTTGTGCTGTGTTATTGCTGGTGCTGGTGCGCACGCAAACGTAGCATATAATTAATTTTTAAGCTTTCAAGTTGATTAAAACTTTTAATTAGAACGAATTTGACACAATCATCCAGTGGGGATGCGCCCACCACTGCCACCGCCACTTCCACCACGGCCAGCACTGTCGACTGATGACTTTCACTGCAACAATTACTGCAGCTCTAATCTGCTAGTGCTACTCGCTGATGATGATTCGGCTGCTGCTGCTGTTGTTGCCGCTACTGTTTCTTCGGCTTTTTCTTCAGTGTACAGCTCGTAATCATTGACCATTAGTGTTGTCAATTTATTCTGCAGTTCTGCGATTTGGAGAAAACTCAGACTCAGGCTAAAACTTGAAAAGTAAAAGTCCTGAAAGTAGACGCTCCTAGCTACTTGGCTAATGCCGCTAAATTGGCTGTGTTCAGTCAGTCAGTCGGTGGGTCAGTCAGCGAGTTAGAGTTTAGTCAGCTTGGAGTTTGCTTGTCTGGCGCTTTTTTAAGCAGTAAAATTCTGCTTGTTTATTACAGTTGATTGTGTGTATTTCGACATTTTCTTTCCATGGTGGTGCAGTTTCTTGTGAATCCGAACTGACTGACATTGAACTTCCACCACTGCCACTTTTGTTGCGATGTGCCTCTGGTGCACCCCGTCAAACGGAAACAATTAACGAGGCAGCATTGGCATCGGCAGACACACACAAAGTCACTTTCAGAGTGAATCTTGCGACGCTTCATTTCGCCGTAGATCACACAGGCACACTGTCTGGCTCCTTTTTAGTCTACCGCGACGACGACGACAACGGCAAAGTAGGCTTCTTTCGCCTCATTCGCTTCCTCAACAACGGCGGTAGTAACACTGTGACGGCACTTCTCTCGGCGTGCTCCTAATCTGTTGATTCGAGTGAATTCTTTGCAAAAGCGACGCCGCCATCGCCGCCGTTGTTTGTTTTTTTCCAAAGACCGGTGCTAGACCATTCAACCACTTGTTTGCACAGAAAGTGAGTAGAGTGCGGTTGCTGCTAATGCTACTGCAACTGTTTTGTCAAATACAGACACCGTTGGTGTCTTGCTGTCAAAACAATGGCACCTTTTTGGTGGTCCAATAACACTACACTGCTGGTCAGTCTGTCAGTCAGTTGCTTGCCATATCACCAGCAAAGGCAGCTGCTGCAACACAGCACAAGCTCATTCATTCAATGGAGAATTAATTGAAAATGGCAAAAAACAACAACAACGCTTAAATTAGATCTGATTGGCGGGCGCCAGCAAAAGCACTTCCAACTGCTGCTGCCACCACCACTACCACCACTACCACCGCTTCTAGGCCACTGTGTGCTGTTTACTGCATGCGGGCCAAATAATTGTCAAAGTCTGTGGAAAGAGAGAAACCGAAAGTGGAGGAAGGGAAAAAACAAGGAGGACACAAAGTCAGTTATTAGCAGAATAAATTAATGAATGCGATTTTAGAGCAGACTTTAATTAAATAAAGCGAGCGCACAATCAAAGCTGAAAGCGCCGGTGCCAGGCGTTGCAGCCTCAGTTTTGCCTTGATTTACTGCTTTATTAAACTCAGGGCCTGTCTAGCTGACTGTGTGTGTGTATGTGTACTATGTCCGGTCCTCTTATTGACTTTAATGTCAAATTATTTTAATTTCGTTTGCTGCCACACAGCAGCAGCTTCAGCAATGGCGAGTTTCAGTAATTTAATATCAGCTCAACGCAATGGTTGCCAGGCTGTGCAATGCAATGCGCACACAGTGTACGGCTCTCAGAGACAGCGAGTGTGCTTGTTTCTCTTCTTTGCCCCTTCGTTTACCAGTGTTTGTAAGCCATTCACTGGCCAAGTGGAGGACGGTCGTTTACAAAGGTTTGTGAGGCAAATTAATTGAATGTGCATATAATTAAAAAAGTTAATTTTTAATGAATATACAGTGAGCTGCTTTACGCTGAAGTAGACCAGATTAGTGAGTGGCTGGTGCAGCACTTACTCACCAACACAAGTGACGATTAGAGTGCATAGAAGGGGAAGATAAAGGGGGTGGATATAGTAGAGGGTGCTATTACTTGCCGCTAATGAAGAAAGCTCTAAATGAGCATTGAAACTGAACGAGAAAAGGGAATCGGAATTGAGAATTCTTTTTAGCTTAAAAAGCAAAGAAGCTGCCAGACGTGCTTGCACGAACTGGCGACTTTGGTGTCTCAATTGCGTTGACATTTGAAATGAGACAGATAGCCAGCAAAAAACCAATTGGGCTAATTAATTGGAATCGCTCATAACCGATGCGCCATATATCACGTTGGTTATATGGCACTATTGTAGATAGTGAAAAACGAGGAAGAAAACGAACAACTCTCAGCCGGAAAGTACAGAAGCACTGTGCTGCAATTCAGGCAAAAATTTACTTGCAAAGTATAGTAATTGCAGAGTGAAAAGAAAAACGGGCACAAGAGAAGGGAGAAGAAACCCGACAGGAGCAGCTAGCAAAATGAAGGGCCAGTTCGTAGCTCCCGCTACCACTATACAACTTGGGCATTGTGTGTGTATGTGCCTGTCCGTAATTGGATATTTAACTAATTAATTTTAATAATAAGAACCAAATTTACTGGCAGTCGACGGAGCAGGCAGTAATTGCCAGGCTGCGTCCGCACAGATAGAGAAAATTGCAGTGTACGGTAAGCTGGTGTCGCAAGTGCCCGGTGTCGTCGACAATGACGACGACGACCACCACTAGTGGGAAAGTATGTGTGCCGTTTTTGGGCAGCTTTCTCGCCTGCTACTGGCAATTTGTCGACTACCAACTAGCAACTACGGTATCTAATTGAAAGTCAACTTTAAATAACATGCACTTCTTCTACAGTGGAAAGTTTCACTGTGCCATACTGCTGATGATATTGCCTTGGCACGTTGTATTTGCCGTTGTTGCTGCTGCTGCTCGAATTTGCTAACAATCTAAACGGAGCAAAGTTGATAAATGAAATTGAAAATAAATGGTGAAAGAAGAGTGGGAAAAGGGAGAGAGTGTGCTCGCATAATTGAAATTGGTAACAATTACCATGGGCCAAGTGACAGCTCTATAGCCTTTCGAGGAAAAAGTGGAAGAAAAAGAAAAAAGAAGAAGAAAAAGCAGTAGAAGCAGAAGCAATTCGGCGGTTGCTCTTCTGCGTTTGAGACAGAGACAGCGTAAGCAAAGAGCAAGGGCAGAAGAGCAAGGGCTCGGTTGTGCATGGCTCTAATTAAATTCTCCCTATAACAATCATTCATATTCGGGAAATAATGAGTGCGTAATGCAATTAGGCTGAGCACGTTTAGCAGTCTTATTAGAGTGCAATTAGACATAATATTGAAATGAATTTGCCAGTGCTACTCACTCTGTGTGTGGCAGTGTGAAGTGAAAGGCTCTTTGTCTGCGGCTGCTGGTGCTGCTGTTCCTCTGTCCGCCAAGTGCTCATCTGAAGGCGCTCTATGGTCTCGTTTAGGGTTAGCCAGGCCAAAAACAGAGAATCCGCGCGCGCGTTCAGGACTTTGCAGTGAAGCCACCACCACCACCACCACCACCGCCATCAGTGGTCCCCATAGCTCTTTCTCCTTTGCATACATATCCTTTCCTTCTCTTGTATATCACTAATTATTTCTGGCAGCACCCTCACGTCAATTAATAAATTCTACTGTAGTTGCAATTCGCTAATTCATGCTGCCTGCACACACACACACTTTGAGCATTAGGAGACACAGACAAAAGGCCATTTAAACGAGCCACCGAGAGCGCTTATGTGTATCTCTCTGTTTGTCTGACTGTGTCTGTGCCATTGTCGACCCGACGCCCGCACACACACGCTAATAGACTCATTGCACTCGGGTCCACGGTCGACTACTTTTTCCCCTAGTTCCCCTGCCTTTCCTTGCCTACTCATTTCATTTGCCAATTATTCATTCACATTCTAACTACGTTGTTCCCCTTTTTCTGCTCACATTCTAATTAATTTAATTGAATTTATTNCTGCCTTTCCTTGCCTACTCATTTCATTTGCCAATTATTCATTCACATTCAAACTACGTTGTTCCCCTTTTTCTGCTCACATTCTAATTAATTTAATTGAATTTATTAAAAAAATACACACACAGTAACAAAGTGCACTAAAGGAGAGAACGGTAATGCAGGGAAAAAAGAATGGGAGGAAAGGAGAGGAAAAACTGTGCCCGGGTGTCTTACAGCTCTTTGCAGTAAGTTGCAATGACAGGTCATGGGGTGCGCTGCAGGAGTGTGCCAAGTCTCACTAAGTTCTTTGTTTGCCCAACAAGAACAACTTTTGGGAATCACAACTGATGTGATACTATTCTTGTTAACATTTGATACTATTATGATAGTAACAGTAGAGCAATTTTGCTTTTATAACAGTAGCCAAGTTCACATCAGGTCAAATGATCAAATAAATGGTTGTGTGCGGTAAACCAATGCAGTCAAATTGATTGCTTGTTAGTTTAATTTTGATAACAACTTTAAAAAATCTGTGTTTTTATTGTTTAGGCTTTTTGGCAACACTGGTTTCTGCTCATCTTGCAACAAGAACATCTTGGGCTTTGAGATGGTGATGCGCGCAAAGTCAAATGTATACCATCGTAAGTAAAAAACTGGTTTTTTGCAGTTTTTCATTAATTAAGACTAACTATTATTTTCAATCAACAAAATTTAGTTGAATGTTTTCAGTGCAGTCATTGCAACCACAGATTCTGCGTCGGTGATCGCTTTTACCTGCACGAAAACAAGATTCTCTGCGAGTACGACTACGAAGAGCGCATGGTCTTCGCCAACATGTCGCACAATCTGGGCACACTGGACCAGGTGCGCCGACAGACGAAGGAGGTGCCCACCAGTGAGCTGTGCGACGCCAGCAGTGGCTATGGCAGCAGTCAGGACTCACCGTTCGACCACTGAGTAAGTAGTGGAGTGAGCACATTGACTATCAGCACCATTACCACCTAGTCAGCAACACACACACATGGACACACAGGAAGAGGAAGCGAGTGTGCTTACCGGTCAACAGGCGATAGACTGCCGTGCGCACTGAACACTACAGCTCTACATGCTGAAACCCCTGTCCTCTTATCCTATCCTGTACATAGCACTCTTCTCTGACATCCTCTCTATCTTCTTTCTTTTCCCCTTCTTCTTTCCTTGTCGTTGATCACTTTTCCTCTCTTCTTTCTTTTTCCTCTTTTATTGGCCAAATCGATGTATTTATCTACTGTTTGACACTGTTGTAAATAAATAAAACGTACTGGTCAAAAAAGTGATGGTGAAAAATGCAGACTTGGAAGTGCAGTGAAAAGCAGCCAGAATATTGAAATTGGTAAACTCAACATCATCTTAAAAAGTAAATAATTGCAACCATTGCCACAGTTGTTATAGCAAATATAGTCAAATAATCAACATAGCAAGCACATTCAACCATCAACAAATACACGCCCACTGCAACTGTTTTGATTGACTGCACTGCACTGAATTGTTGTTCTTGTTGGTTTGTTCTGTCGTCTCCCGACCTAGTCATCAGAATCTAGAAAGACTGTAGCCACAAACGGCCATGCCGCCAGCACCAGCACTGTGAGAGTGGACATGCGAAAGTGCAATAGCAATTGTTATCAAAGCAATTAGTGGAGAGAGCAGTCAAAGAGTGGCACGACGTGACAGCAAACCAGAGAGAGCGATAGGGGCCGACGTTCGGTTGCAAAGCTCCTTCCACTGCCATTTGCTGCCCTAACTGCTCAGTTTTTGCGTCAGTCACCATCACCACCGCCGAATCCCGAGTCGGGTTTTAATTAAGTTTTTGCATGAAAACTTTGGATCGTTCGATGGAGAGATAATGTTAATTAATAGCTAAATTTGCCTGTCTAATATTTGCTAAAAGCTATCTCGACGGCGCTGAGTAAAACAAGAAAAAAGGGAAAAAAAGTGGTGCTGGTGTTGCTGAATTAGGGGTAGACAGCAGCAGCAGCAGCAGCAGCAGCAGCAGCAAGGGCGCGCGCATCATCTATTATTGATGTTTGCTGATTAGCTGTTTCCGTTCAGAAGCTGCGCTGCTGCTAATGGAAGGCGAGTGCATTGCATTTTTGGTGGCAGCCTAAAGTTTTCCGTGCTGCTGAAGCATACACCACCAGCACACATACATGCACTGCCACTGGTGCCGCTTAAAATGGCAATTTAAATTTGATCTGTCAAGTAAATTAGGAAAAATTGGTTTGTTTTAATTTTCATTAGCAGGCCTGTACTGCTTGGTAGTGCCTGTCTGTCAACTTAGTGGTGGGTCGCTTCGATGTCATCGACGGCAGCCAGACGATGGCTGCCATTCATGCACCGTCCTGGTGAGCAGTGTAGCCTAGTACTCCAACGCCTGGTATGTAGTGCGACAACCACTTCATCTGCTGCCATTCTCTTTTTTTCTGTCCATTGCCATTTCTGCCGTTTCCACGCTGTACAAGCTTTAATTTTAATTAGACCAACGTCGATCAGCTTTTCTCATTATAAAGTAGACCAGCGAGTGGTGAAGGGGAAGGCAGCGACAGCAGAAACTTGAGCTTTTTGGCGCACTTACTTTCCCCATTTATCCTTCTCTGCTTTTCATCTCCACCGATGGCGAAGTGCAATTGTGTACTACTTGGCAGTGCCACTGGTCGGTTTCTGATCTGGTCTCCTTCTGGTCTCTCTGGGCCACTACAACAACAACCACTATATAGGGTGGTGGCCAATTGTGGCTCGCAAGCTTTTATCACTACCATCGACTAATTCATTCGAATCAAATTAGATCAAAGTAGTCTGGCTTTGATGAACAATAATTATATTGGCCATTTTATTAATAAAGTAAATGCGCCTTGCCGTAGACCGGCGACCACGGAGACGGCGGCATCAGCAGGCGAGCGCTCCAAAAGCGCTCTAAGTGCAGCAGTGTTGCCAGCAATGGCGCTGCCTGTACGATAATACAAAAGTATTAGCGAGATTGATATTCGATGGGGCGCTAGGGCAGGGAGAATAGATTTGTCAATTTACTAATTTGGAAGCTGACCAGTGGCAGTAGTAGTAATCGTAAGTAGTGGCATTCCTTTTCTCCTGGCATTCGGTCACCCCCTCTCTCCCCTCTGCCGACTTGGAACCGCCAGGAACTGTCAGCGGCGGTTGCAATTGCTCTATTGCACTAGTGTTGTTGCTGACGCTAGTATTCATTCAATTTACAATCGTCCAGCTGTGATTGCCTGCCTGCTTGCCTGTTCTGTCACTGCCCCTCTGTCAGTGGTCAGCACTTAGATTGCCTTTTAAAGTCAATTTCATTAGAGGCTCACAACGGCGGCGGTGACAGTTGAAAGCGACCAGGAAAGTTTGGGTTTGGCCAGTCAGTGAAAATGCGGTGTCCACTTTGTAATTTGTTTAATCATTCTTCCGAATTGATAATCAGCAATCCAATTGATTCAACTTTGTTTTTGCCAATATTAATTTTCTCTCTCGCTTTCACTCTCATTACCGAGCAGTCTCACCGGACCACTGATCCGATCAGCAAGTGTAGTTATTTTGAGTAAGTGTATGTGTGAGGGAGTAGAAGACAGTGTGCCAAATGTAGAGACGAGCACTTCACGGCTCAACACTGAACAGTTCTTACTCATTACCAAAAGTCAGAAAGGAAAATGGCGAAATTTTAGAGTGCATTCTTTACTTTGATTGCTTTGATTGGACGATTCTCAATGGCAATGACTCTGCTAAAACAGCAAATTGGCAGCAACAGCAGCAACGGTAGCGAGTAAACCTCAAAATTGCTTTTTGCTTCAGCAAAGAAGGTTTGATGATTTACCAGGAAGCACACAAACTCTCATTTTACCCACCGTCTTCACTTTCCATCGCCCAAGTAGCAGCAACAGCAGTATAATCTATTTAATGGTTTATTTGCGCAATTTCAATTAGTAAAATGGCAAATTGATGTGAAAATCAATTGCAAAGTACAGTGTGTGTGTGTGTTGTGCGTCTGAGTTGTTCAGTGTTTTTTCAGTGCACTTCACTTGCACATTTAACACTGAAAACGACACTGTGTATTTGACTTCTTCCTCTTCTTCCTCTATTATTTTTTTCTTTTGATTTTTTCACTAACTNAGTGTGTGTGTGTGTGTGTGTGTTGTGCGTCTGAGTTGTTCAGTGTTTTTTTCAGTGCACTTCACTTGCACATTAAACACTGAAAACGACACTGTGTATTTGACTTCTTCCTCTTCTTCCTCTATTATTTTTTTTCTTTTGATTTTTTCACTAACTTTTTTCTATTGTTTTTCTTTTTGTTTTCAGGTTTTTTGCCAGCAATTTCTTTTGTTGCACAATAACAAGATTTTGTGCAAGAACGACTACAAAGAGCGCATGGTTTTTGCCAACTTGTCGCACATTTTTTAGCACACTGGATCAGGTGTGCCAATCGAAAAAAGAGCTGTGTGAGCCAGTAGATGTTATGACTATCAGCACCATTACTACCTAGTCAACAAAACACACATTCACACATAGGAAGAGGAAGCGTGTGTGCTTACCGGTCAACAGGCGATATGCTGCCGTTTTGCACTGAAGTGCACAACATTTCTACAAAAACTACGGTCCTCTTATCCTATTCTGTACAAAACACTCTTCTGACATCGTCTCTTCTTTTATTCCTTGCCGTTAATAATTTTTTTCTCTTTTTTCTTCATTTCTTGGAAAAATCGATGTATTTATCTACTTTTTGACACTGTTGTAAGTAAATAAAAACGTACTGGTCAAAAGAGTGCTTGGAAAACTGTGAAAAATGTCAATTTGAAAATGAATTAAAAGACAATCAAAGCTAGAATGTTTTTAGAATTGTGCAATCGGTGTGCTCAACATTATCTCAAAAAGCGATAATTGCCGCCACTGCCACAGTGGATACCACAAACATAATTGGAGTCAAGTTGTTGGTCCTTATCACCGCCGCTCAATCACTGGCGCACTGCTACTTGGCCTCTTTCCTGGTAAAAGTTATGCAAAAATTGATTAGTGCTTGTCGGTGTGTCAAAGACTACTGCTGAATGCTGCTGCCACTGACATCATAGGGGGACACTGTCAATTGGAGAAAGAAGTGTGTCGGCAGATTGTGCCCAACATGACAGCAAAACTGCAAAACATTTTACCAAAACACAATGCTTTTGTCACTGTGCTGTGTAGTAGTACCACTGAAATGGTGGTCGATTCGATGATGCTGCTATTTCTGGTTTGCTGTACTGTACTGTGCCTTCGAGCTCTATTGCCCACAAACTGATTGGCATTGTTGAACATTGCAGTGGCGTCGATGTTGACTGGAGCTGTCGATAGACGATATCATAACGGCAAATCATTAACCTTATGTCGGAAATTAAAGCTCACATCCGATTATGCACGCGTCCGGCATGCAGCACCGCCACCACCACCACCACTACCAACAGCAGCAGTCTCAGTGTTCAGTTGAATGTGCTCGGTGATAAGAATTGAGATGATGTCGTTAGTGGCTTCTTCTCCTTCTACCAATGGCAGCAGAGCCAACTACTACAGCATTTGCCCTTTTCCACTTTCATTCCCGCTCTCCTAGCCAGTGCTAATTGCCTGCCACGGACACTACTATTGCTGCGATGGCAGCAAATTGAGCCACCACCACCATCAGGCCATTTACCCATTTGCTGCCCAGGCATTGTCATTCAACAGCAGCATCGCATCCATTTGCTGTAATCGATACTCACCAAAAAAAGAAAGGGAAAGGCACATTCACCGGTTGTAGCTTATCGGCGGCGGTCGTTGTGCAGCTCAATGCTGCAACCGTCTTCTCTCAGCGAGTCCTTACCCAGCAGTTTTGCCCTCTCCTTTCTCATTAAATTATTTAGTGCTTCAGTGTCATTTGGATGATGTATTTGCTGCTGGACAGACAGACCAAA